CACGCTGCATATTTTTTGGTATCCCTAAACAAGGAAATTTTATAAAAGATTATGTGTATTACTATGCAGGGCCAAGTTACAGGTTCACTTAAAACCGACCGTACTCCACGCACTTTCCGCCCCACACCATACACACACATACCTTTTTTTCTTTGGCCTATCTGATGACAGAGGGTCTTCTGTTACAGGAATGGACAGCTCTCAACCCTGCAAGTGAGTATGGAAGCTAAAGTTGCTTTTTTTTTTTTTAGCTTATACTTACTGGTCATCTTTTTTTGGAGTTCTGCTATAAACACTGGCTCCCAACTCTTCTGATACTTACCTTTTCCTTGCTACTTTCTGCTCCAGAAAGGAAAATTGTTAGAATGAGGAGACACCTTGTATGGGCACCAGCTTCTCGTTAAGACTAGATTTACACCATAGCCTTAAAAAATGTGTTTTAGTGCATGCTAATGGGTGTTCACTGCAATTTAGAGGCTATTCTTTTTAGAAACAGGAAATGCTTTGTATTTGTTATTAATGTTTCAACCTCACATCACTGCAGAAACTTCCAGAAGCACACCAGTGAAGCTCTCTTCCTTTTCCCTTTAAAACACATATGCTTGTTAGTCTATTTATCGTTTGATAAAGTTATAATATACAGTATATGAATTGCAGTCTCATGTATTTACTGTGGGATTTGAAAAGTGGGCTGTCTGCAAAGAAATGTGTTCATTGTTTGCATTTGTAAGAGACGTGTAAAAGTATATTGTAGCCTCAGTTTATGCAGTTGTATTGCACTTTTACAGAACTATCCACAGAAGTAAATTCAGTTTTGGAACATAACACTGCTTCTGTCAGTTTTGTCAGCTAGCTATCGGCAAACATTTAGTAGGACAACAAAAAGTGCATCGTGATCCCAGCCCTTGAGGGGCCATCATCACAGTGTTCTTCATTCAGTTTAGTGATGTAAAGAGTGGCAGTTTCTGAATCTCTGAGGACCACCCATAGCTTTAAAATATTGGGAGAGGAAATTTACCTTGCGTGACTTGTGTCCGGCTCATAAAACATTGGAAAAAAGTAACTGTATTTAAACAAAACACCCCATAAAAATACCACTGGGTAGACTTCGGGGGGGGGGGGGGGGATTTGGGAGGGAAGGGGGCTTGAAGGGATAGCTTAGTTTTTAAGCAAAGTGCATAGTTGTCATATGCCCTGTGTGCTGCAGGATGGGGTCCAAAATCCTAGAATTGCAACGTAGGATACAGAAGCGCTGTAATTGTGCCAGATCACTGAGTAGTATGATTTTCTGCAAGTATAGGTCTGGCTTCAGCAAAGAGGCAGCAGCACTGGAGCATATGTCTAGATAGGTAACCACTGAGTACCAGTGATATGCTTACAGTTGCAAGAAAAAGTATGTGAACCCCTTGGGATTACGTGGAGTTTTGCATGAATTGGGCATAAAATGTGCTCTGAACATCATCTAAGTCACAACAATAGAAGAACACAGTCTGCTGAACATAATACTACACAAACATTAGATGTTGCCATGGTTTAATTGCACATTTTATTATTATTATTATTATACAGTATTTATAAAGCGCCAATAGTTCGCTCAGCGCTGTACATTACAGAGGGGAACAGAACATGTGACAGAACAATACCAATACAATGCAAAACATGAGGGGATCGAGGGCCCTGCTCTTTTGAGCTTACAATCTAGGAGATAACATGTAAACATTCACAGTGCAGGGAGGAAAAAGTATGTGAACCTTTGGACTTAATAACTGGTTGACCCTCCTTTGCAGCAATAACCTCAACCAAACGTTTCCTGTAGTTGCAGATCAGACCTGCACAATGATCTGGAGTAATTTTGGACCACTCCTCTTCACAAAACTGTTTCAGTGTAGCAATATTCTTGGGATGTCTGGTGTGAATCGCTCTCTTAAGGTCATGCCACAGCATTTTAATCGGGTGGAGGTCAGGACTCTGACTGGGCCACTCCAGAAGGCGTATTCTGTGCAGTTGCAGCCATTGTTTTGTTGAATTACTTGTATGCTTTGGGTCATTGTCCTGTTGCATCACCCATCCTCTGCGGAGCTTCAGTTGGCGGACAGATGGTCATACGTTTTCCTGCAAAATGTCTTGATAAACTCTGGAATTCATTTTCCCATCAATGACAACAATTCGTCCAGGCCCTGAGGCAGCAAAGCAGCCACAAACCATGATGCTCCCTCCGCCATGTTTTACAGTGGGGATGAGGTTTTGATGTTGGTGTGCTGTGTCTTTTTTTCTCCTCACATAGTGTTGTGTGTTCTTCCCAAACAACTCAATCTTGGTTTCATCTGTCCACAGTATATTTTGCCAGTAGTGCTGTGGAACACCCGGGTGCTCTTTTGCAAACTTCAAACGTGCTGCAATATTCTTTTTGGACAGCAATGGCTTCCTCCGTGGTGTCCTCCCATGCTTCTGAGAGCTCTTTTCTGCGAGGCATGGTTCACATCACACAGTGCTTCTTGAAACCAGTAAACCTAAAACAGGTGTGTGTTTTTTTAAGAGCAGGACAGCTGTCAGCAACACATCCAATATCATCACACTGATTGGAGTCAAGGTTGGCTCACTCCTGGCTCCAATTAGCTCTGAGAGAAGTCATTAAGCTAGGGCCTCACATACTTTTTCCTCCCTGCACTGTGAATGTTTACATGTTATGTGCAATTAAACCATGGCAACATCTAATGTTTGTGTAGTATTATGTTCAGCAGACGGTGTTCTTCTATTGTTGTGACTTAGATGACGTTCAGAGCACATTTTATGCCCAATTCATGCAAAACTCCACGTAATCCCAAGGGGTTCACATACTTTTTCTTGCAACTGTATTCTCTCTCCTACTGATGCCAGATATAAAGGGCTTACTTTTCTCCCACTGACACCAACGTTATAGGACTGTTTTCCCACTGACACAAAAGATGGGCTTTTTTAATCCCACTGACACAAATGACGCAGGGCTTATTTTATTTTATTGATACCACACATTTCCTGACTCTTGACAGTGGGACATATTTTACTGATATTAACAATGAGGATTATTTTGTCCAACTTACATAAATGATGGGCCTATATTATCGCTTTGACCCAAATGGGGCCTTTATTTCCATTGACACCAATGATGAGGCTTTTTTTATTACCATTTACACAAGTGATGGGATTTGTTTTATCCCACTTACACAGACTGCATGTTTTAAGTTCTCCCCATGCATACATACTTTCTCCTATGCTCCATACACATGGGTCTTCTGCAAGTGTCTTCTGGCCAGTCTGACGACATCAGAGGTCCTTCCTCTGCTACAGTGATGGGCAGATCTCATTCCTGATTGTTTTGGTTTTTTTTTTACTTTGCTGGGCATCTTTTTTTTGGAGTTCCACTTTAAAAGATTGCTTTCAGTTCTGCTTATACTTACAATTCCTTTGCTACCTGCTGCTCTAGGTTAGAATGTGAGGCTTGCCGTATATGGGAATCATCTTCTCTTTAAGAGATTTATATTTTTTTCTTGGGCTTTATATTACCACATAAAATGTTCCCAGTAAGTGTATTAGAAAGTATGGAAAACATAGTCTCCACCTACTGGGCAGGTAAGTACATTTCTTCATATTCAAAGTACATTTAGTTTTATTTTTGGGAGACAGCATCAGGGATACTTTAATAAATGCAAAATCGAAACAAATTAATGGCACAGTAAAGATCTGTATATATCATCCATTAACAACATGGGGCAGCACAGTGGCTAAATGGTTGGCACTTCCGCCTGGCAGTACTAGGATCGTTGGTTCGAATCCCAGTCACGGCACCACCTGCCTGGAGTTTGCATGTTCTCCCTGTGCCTGCGTGGGTTTCCTCCGGGTAATCCGGTTTCCTCCCACACTCCAAAGACATGCTGGTAGGTTAATTGGCTCCTATCTAAATTGGCCCTAGTATGTGTATGTATGAATGTGAGTTAGGGACCTTAGATTGTACACCCCTTGAGGGTTAGGGACTGATGTGAATGTACAATATGTATATGTGTAAAGTGCTGCGTAAATTGACGGCGCTATATAAGTACCTGAAATAAATAAATAAAATAAACATAATCTGGACCAGGTATTTGTCACATCTGGAACTGTTGGATACCTGTGGTAATGGATTCACTGCTTACCCAGAAAAGTATTGTATGTATTGTTTTATGTATGTGTCTTTTCAATATGGTCACATTTCATACAGTTACTTAAACTACAATGTATGATATTTTAGCAGAAAAGTCTGGTGACCTCTTTAAAGTCAGCTCTTGGGTATTACCCATGAGATAACAGAGAAACCACGAAGACCCTGTGAAGTAATGTGTTACCTCCCACCAACTGCACTGATGATTGCTCATCTCCCTTTTTGGGATGGGGTGTGTGTAGGGATCAGGTGTCTCTTGCATTCACTTTGCTCCACTCTGAAATAGGACTTTTTTTTTGTCAGTGTTCTGGGAGAGAGAAAGGGAGTGAGGAGGTGAGTGTGGGACCGAGAGAGAGAGTAGAGTGTAGGGAGGGGGCAGAAGGAAAGACAGACAGGCAGACAGCAAAGGGCATAGAGCCAGGGACCAGTCCAGAATACAGACACAAAGGAAAAAAGTCTAAGTTTAGAGACATACAGAACACTGAAAACAACCAGAGGGTACTGGTGTACTTGTAGATTTACAAAAAGGTTTATTTATTAACAACCAGAGGGTGTTTATTAGTTTCAAGAATATTTTGGTGCATGCTACAGGTGACTACAGTAAATATCCAGAAGTATATCAATTGATCAGGTATTTATAGAAATGCATATATGATAGAATAAAAGAAAGTTAGACAAGCTAAGCAATCAGTATAGATAAGGAGAGCTTTTGGTGAAATCATACTAATTGACCATAAAGAGAACATCAAAAAGATTTGCAACATAATTTGAAGACCTCACACTTGGGATTTCGTTTACCTATCTGGCACAAGTTTGAATTAAAAGGATGTCTACAGGAATGTCCTCTGCAACGATGGACAGAGAAGGGGGCCACACACGCTGGGCCATAAAGGTAGAACGAGGGGTGAACTGTGTGTCAGGGTTGGCTTTGCCTCTGTGAATGAGGTTAAATACTGACCTCTTCCTCCATTCACTAGAACCCACTGACAGGCCTGCGTTGGAAGCGGCTAGAAGAACCGTTGGGCTTTATTAAACTGCTGGAATGGGTAAGTGATGCACATATTTTTTTCTCTTAGTAGTAGTTTACGTATCCTCAAATAGAAGTGTGCTGTGTACAGTTACTTTTTTGGGGAATGAATAAGAAATGGCTATAACTCACTTGATTTGATCATCCACTGGGCTTTTTTTTATTGTAAATGCATAACTAATCAGAGGTGTAATGTATATTTGCAACCGTAACCTCAACACTACTTCACTTCTCGCATATTTTACTTAAATTTAGATAGAAACTTAGTTATGCTTAAACCTCAGTTGTTCTGAAAAAATGTCTATCCAATAATTCCAAGATACTGTTCTTCTCTCTGCTACTTTAAAGCCTATGGTGTCTTTAATGTTCATTGGAAGTTAAGACCTCTCGCACTATGAAGAATATGTTTTAACAGCTGTGCCAAGCCACATTTGCCTGTCAACCTTACATAGTCCTCAGCTGTTTCTGCACTCTGATTACTTCAACTAATTGCTCTATGCAAGTGTGAATGTGTGTCAACTTGTGTTGTCTTTAGGTATACCTGATCTCTTGTGTCAGCCTTCTCTATGAAAACCTTCATTTTTGCGATCACCCTGACAACTCGTTTTCTATCCCATACCCCTTTAGCTGTGTTCCCAGCCCCCTTCATGGTAAGCTCAGCTCTGTATGTCCGTCACAAATAGCTGTTCTCACATTTCACTGCAGTTTAGGAATCTCTCCCAGTCAGTAACCTTTCCACCATCTCCATAACCTACATACTTGGGATCATTCATCACCCAGCCTGTGCCAAGAAGTATTCATATTTCAGCTGTATACTTTATATTGTGCATACGTTCCATCTTTTATATGTCGCTTAGTACACTAACATTTAACATTTCAATGCAACTGATTGTCACATCATGTTCAAACAACAAATGAAACACAAAACCACTGTACGATGTATTAATGGTCATTCTTTACTTTTGAGCATCTCAGAAATTCATTACTATTGGGCTTATTTAACACAAAGTTAGTTAATCAATTCCACCAATCAGAGTTATTCAGTGAGTTGACCACAGTAAGCTAAAATCTAGTTAGCGGCAGTGCTGTGGGATTTTGATTATGATAATTAAGAATAACATTTGCTGAGTGTTTTTAATGTGATTTTTACATTTTTCTTGGTGCACATAAAATATCTAAAAGTACTTTTAGCAATAGCATCTTTGTTAGGAATATAAACATATATTTACAGAGGTGGACACAAAAATGGAAACAGCAAAAGCTAAAATAATCTCTAGAACATAAAAAGAGCGGGCCCAATTTTTTCCTTCTTTGTGTGCAATCATATAGACCTTTAAAAAATGTAATCAGATTATGCATAGTTCATAAAGTAAAAAAGATCTTAGCTTGTTATGGGAGGAAAGAGGTGGAAATTACTTTTACAGGAAAGGATTTTTTTTTTTTTTTTTTACTGAAAGTTGCAAAAAAACAGAAACAATGCAGCATATAATGTACAATCATCAGTAAGAGGAGATACCTCCTTGTGGAAATTCTGGAAGACTGGTCTTTGTATTGATCAAACCACTGCTGAATTAAAGTTTTATTTTTGGGGGAGTAGCATCATTCTAGACCAGGGGTGGACTGACAACTCATGGGGCCCCTGGGCAATAGGGAATCATGGGGCCCCTGTGTCCTTGCCCAAACTCAAAAAAGCCTATGAAAAAGGCACCAGGGGCATCTCATGGGGCCCCCTACTGACCCTGGGCCCTCAGGCAGTGCCCGAGTTTCCAAATGGTCAGTACGCCCCTGTTCTAGACTATGGGTGCACCAGATTGTTTGCATCCGAGGTTGCACATGGCCTTGTTAAATGGCAATAGTCCCAGTGACATGCAGAACATGATTATCCATGCTACTACACATACCCCACAACTTTTAGGACTTGGCAACATATATTGTTGACTGTTTGCATCATTTGGCTTTCTGATCAAGTTATGCTTGTAAAACTATTGTACGTCCTACACCAAGTTCTACATCTGTGCAGTTTCCAGATGACAGTCCTGCTATGAATTCCAGCTTTGTGAAGTTCACAAAAGCTAGTCATACCTGGGTAGAATTTCTTTTGAATTTTTACACAGAAATTCAGAAAAATCACTTGTCAGAGGTTGCAATAGCACATCACTGACCCACCAAATTTCAGCAGAAAGCCTTTTTGAATTTTGTGTGATTGCCTTATCAGTGAATAAAATTTTAATATTTAGTTTCGGGATGCAACAAAGTGATGTAATGTTTATGCCTGTGACCCTACCACATACCATATGCTATATATAAAATAAACAAATGTTTGTAAGAAACAAACTTAACCTAGCACTTGCTCATTACAATAACTACAATAATGAACAGAATTTAATTAATTTCTATAAGAAACAAGAAATATTTTTCATCCTTCTTCAATTTGTTTGACACAGTGGTCGAAAATGATGATCAAATTGCCCCCCATTAACCATTTGGAAATTGAACGAGCATTTTGAAAAGCATTATTATACAACATTCTAGCTAAAGTACACTTACTCTTGGGACAAAATAACTCAGGTGCTGACCTGGTTCTGTTTTTTAAAGTCTATAGTTGTTTGTCTATGCTTGCAGTGAATATTTTTTTGGACGTTTCCGCTTGGCACATTTTTGGTAAGTTTGGCAATTTTTTGGTCCCAAAAGTGTATTTATGGCCAAAATTAAAAATTGCAAATATGCTATGCTCTGAAGAAAACAGCAGTTTTTTTTAAATAACCCCTGTAAGGGCCCTTTCACACAGGCTTTCTAAACAGGTCCTTCTCTCAGTTTTTCAGGTGGACATGTTGAAGGCTCCATGTGGGTCTATGTGCAGACTGATGTAAACAGACTTTTGAGTCTCCCAGAGTTGATCAGGGCGCATTGCTGAGGGGAACATTGCTGGAGTTCTTTTCATAAGGCTAGAAAAGGAGTGAGGCTAGGAAACTTCATGTTCATAAGTATATGATAGGCTGGATTTTGGTGTTTCTCCAATCAGGAGTTAAGTTGTGGCCATTTACACCTGCCTACCTCTGGCTCTGTTAAGGTCTGGGAAAAAAAAACCTAAAAAGGATGCAGTACTTTTTCATCTTTTTGGGCATGTTATCAGAGTTAGTCTGATGTAAAAGATTACAAGTCTGTTTACATCCGACCACCATAGCGCCATCAAGAGTTATTATTATAAAGGATTTATATTGCGCCAACAGTTTGCTCAGTACTTTACAATATAATGTCTGTTGTGAATGTGGGCACAGATGTCAAACTACTGACATCCATCCCAGTCAGCTGCAATTCAGCAGGGTATACTTCTGAGCAGACTAGAGCTGCTCCTTGTGAAAGGAGACTAACGTTGTTTGTTTTCAATTCTTTATTTTCCAATTTTTACACAAGACAATCAGGTGTAAAAGAATGTACAGCATTTGTCAAATTAGAAAAACAGACAGGTACAATACCAAGAGTCATAGAAAAACAGGTACATACAGAGCATCCATAAAACCCTAGTACACTGTGGGCCCGATGGCTTAAATGTCATTTTGCACCATCACATGCATAGGTAGTCTAAGCATTAGTAATGACATTCCCAAACTCCTGGGACAAGGTAAAGTTCACCTAATGAAGCCATGTTCGGAGTTTCTCAGTTTTAAGATTGCATGAAATAATAAAGTTTTCCATGGTTTAAAGATTCTGGACCTTCGAAAATCACATGGCCAGAGTAGGGGGTCAGTTTTGTTTCCATTTGAGTAGGATACATGCTCTTGCTGCATTAAGCAGATGTATCAAAAGGGAGTGTTTGTATCAATTTCTAGACACATGATTCAGGTGCAGTAATTACAAAGCAGGATTTTTCCCCAGGTCAGCACTTGTCCGTTCTTGATGTACACTTGCACCACATCCCAAAAACTTTGAAGGGAGACACAGTCCCAAAATATGTGTACAAAATTATTTGTATCTGTCCCACAGTGCCAGCAGACTGGAGAGACTCCTGGGTAGCACTTATGAAGGGTATTGAGCATCCTGTACCATCTTCATAAGATTTAAAAACCTGATTCCTGGATCTTATTCGCAGTGGATGATTGTGGGCAAAGCAAACAATGTTGTGTTTGAACGACAGAGATATCCCCAAGATTTCTTGCCCATTTGAGGAGAAATGGGGGGACATAATCCATAGATGGTTGGTTTATCAATTTGTATGAGTAGGATATGGCATAATCTATATGTCTAACAATTTTATTACCTACTGTTCCTACTAATAGCTTTGTTATTTTTCTACGTCCTGTAATAGGGTATTCATTCTGCAGTTAAACCTCACATCAGTATTGCACATGGTAGTCTTAGAGATGGGCATGTAGTCTAACAATTTATAAGCAGCTAGAACATCATTTTTTTTCTTTTGGAAGAAAGGTTTATGCTATATGAAAAACAAAATCCTGAATGTTTAAAACACCCCAGTCGGTGTCATATGGTTTCTCTCAACCCCTATAATTGACACTTTTGATGGACAGCTAAGCGTGTTACAGGAAGTGAGAAACCTGAATCGACAGATAATAAAATTTTTACAGGGGGACTCTGCTGTGGTAATGCTATTGACAGATTATTTTATATATGTGATTTTGATTACATAATTCTACTAGTTCTCATATTTCCCATAGTTGCACTTTAACACTTTTGGCACTGACTATTTGTAACTCCTTTAATTGCCTCATGTTGCTTTAAAAATTTCAAAATAGTATTTGATGCACATCTTTTATATTTGACAATATAAATCACATTTTCACTGTGTAAGATATTTGACTTTGAAGTTACAAATGCATTTTTTATGTGTTGTTTCCATTATTTTGCCCAACCCATACTTACCTAGCTGATACATAATGAATTTGACACATAGTGAAAGGGACTCCTACCCTAATGTTAACAATGAAAATGTAAAACCAAACACAAACCTGGGAATTGTGAAACTGAATATAACATAGCTGCATGTGTGATAATTGTCACCTG